ACAAGTTTTTTGCCGCCACTTTTTCCGAACTAATGACACACGGCCCGGCCGTGACCACGTTGACGTTGATAGGCCACAACAATTTTCATTGGACAGCCATTTACAATAAACGTCAGCAAAGGCCTAGCTAGGCGAAAAAAATAACGAAAGCTTATAAAGCATCCAGGACCGAAGCTTAGAATACACTTGCTTAAGAACTATTTATCAGAATCTTGTGGGCTATAAGATTCATAAAGCCTTAAGCTCAAAAATAATGAATAATAAGTATTATTATTATAAGTAAAATGGGATTTATAATATAAATAGTAAACTATGGCTCTCAAGACATTGCATTCAAATGTGTTTAATACGAAGAGTTGGTCATTTAAAAGTTAGTTTCTAGATTGGGAGGAAACTATAAGACCTCTACTTTCCTGACTGGCAAACTGCTGGGCAAAATATCACTACACCCTGGAAGAGTATAAAAAGTCGCCGTAGTTTAGGGCGAAAATCAAACAGCCATTGAGTGGCGGGACAGATCTGTCTGTGCCGTTTGATAAGCGCTAATGAATGGTTTTCTTATACGCTCCATTGGGCCATAGCCATCGCAGTCGCCGTGGCACCGTGGCCGTGGTAAAGAAAATCCTGGAAGGGTGGCCAAACCCACTATAAAGTGGGTGGTTTTGGAGGGGGAGAGGGGGGAGAAGGGGGCGAATGGAAACACTGGACACGGCCACTTGTCGCGGTTTTGGGCAATTTAAGCGGCGGTTGCCGTTGTCATTGTCACGACGTCGAATGCGGTTGCCACTGACGCAAATGTTTGGCTTTGAGGCAATTAACGAGGCCAGAAAACGACGAGGGAGGGTTGAAAAAAAAAAACGCAGCAGAGAAGAAAAGTGAGGCGGTTCGATGCATTTTCCTTTCCTATATTTTTTTCAGCTCTATTTTCCCGCTTGTAATAAAATGGCAAACGTATGCCCGGGCAATCAATAAGCACCCGCCCCGAAAAGCATGCTACGGGTTTTTTAAGAGCTCACCGAAAAAACCACAACACTGCAAGGACATGCTGCAAAGGAGGGACCAACAAGCGACTTAATACTGGCCAACTTGATGAAGATACAAGACAGATGGATAACGGCAGGTGAGCCAGGCATACAAATAAGAACATTTTCCCCTTCTGTCTGTGAGAAATTGGGGGCAACTCCAGCCGGAAGAACTGCAAAAGGACAAAACTTTTAAACAAGATTCGGCACTCGATACAGACACACACACAATGGCCAAACAGACTCGGACTCAGCCTCTTTTATGCTTGGCCATAGTCCAATACAAATCGTTACCAATTTTCAGCCGGCTCGAGGGTGGGCGGGGAATGGGGGTGGGCGTGGTCGGTGGCAGGCCATAAGCAATGGTCAACTATATATGGACAAACAGGAGGCGCACACCTTTCATTTATTGCTCGTGTCCGCTCTCTTTTCTCTCTTTGTTCCTTTCTGGTACTGGTGGCGTATATGTAACGCAGGGCATGCTCATATGGAAGCGTATGCACAGGGAGAAATATATTTCAAAATTGGTACCTTTTACCTGTGCTTTTAGCTTTCAGAGGAAAAAGGATAACATTTTTTTTTTTAATGCCTAAGTGAAATAGTAATAATAAATGTTTTTATTATAATGCAAGCAAAAATCAAAGTGTCAAATGTTGAAATTAAAAATCCAAATATATATTAATAAAATAAATATAAATATAATAGCCTGAACCACAATAAACGCGAAAGCCATGAGGATCATTTCGAAAACCCACTTCTGTCCGTGTACGATTCCAAATTGCAGGTGGCTGTGGTGGTGGTGCTGGTGGGGTGGTGCAGTTGGTGGTGCATCGGCTTTATGTTGTGTATATGTCTGGTCGGAGTCTTTACGTTGGCTTGATTGGATTTGCCGATGCAAATGAAGAATCCAATTTTTAAAGTTTGTTTTTCGTTATCGTTACGTCTCTTGTTAGTGGTGGAAACCTCCGACTGGTGTCTCCGCTCTTCCTCTTCCCGTTTTCCCATTTTTCTCATGCAGCTCACGATGCAGGGTCTTGGACACTATCCGACTCTCTTCAGCGGAAGATTTTTTTAAGCCCGTCCACCACGTTTGTTTTATACGTTTCGAAAGACTTTTTTTTGTCTTTACCTTTTTATACTCCTCCTCGTCTCGTTTTGTTGGCCACATCAGCACACAGCACTCGGCCTGACACAAAGCGTCGGGAGGAACAGCCAACAATAACCAGGGAAAATTCAAACAAACCGACATGGGAGGCACCAAAAATTTGTTTGCTGTACATAACAAAACAACAACCAACAAAAAAAAGTGGAGGATAGGGAACAAAAAATTTGAAAAAGAAAAGTTTTTGCTTTTTGGTTTGGCACGCCATTTGTTTGTGTCCCGATGCCTTTTGCCTTACCACAAAATCGAATTTTCACTTTTAAACAATTGACGTTACCGCATACGGATACACCTGCATGTGTGCCACTGGACGGGTATTTTGTTTTTTTTTTTACTTTTTATTGTGATCAACTTTTTGTGTTCGCTTTTTTTTTCTTTTTCTCATTTCATGCCTTTCAATTTGTTGTTTACTCTTTGTTTTTGCTTCGGTCAGCTTAATTCTGGTCTGCCAAGTGCCTCTCATCGTTGCCATTGGCTTTTGTGTGCAGTTTATTTGGCAAATAAATTTACCAACTATTTTTCTAAACTGGCGAGGGTAGGCGATGGTTTTTTTGATTGGTTTGTGTTTAGGAAATCATCGAACGAGGGGGTACAAAAAAAAATTCGGGCTTTCAGCAAATCGAAAGCGAAAAGTGGTATTTTAATCATCGTTGGACAAATTGTGTTTGCATTAAAAACACAACACGATACGTGTCAAATCGAGTTGTGCGCCGTGTTATAAGCACATCCGATCATCTGTAATAATCAATTAGGCCGCAGGGGCAACCAAATCGGCGAATTTAACGAAAACATGGCATATGCAATTTGTTAATTTTCCATTATTAGAATTAACAATGCATCGATGATTGATGCAAAATTAGCGCCGTGCTAACATTAACGACGCACAGTCATGGCAACGCGATATCCGAGTACGCTAAATAGCAATTAGTGGGAATGAAATTTGATAGCTCAATAGTTGGCAGTCGGGCTTATTAAATAATTGAGCACCGATTGAAGGCAATTTATCACAAATGATTTGTAGTGGAGCTCCCTCCACAAAAAACCACGCTATCCCGCTGAACGCTTATATAAATCTCCGGGAATACGATCCCCTGACAGCCAGCTACAATTACACCCGACAATCGCCCGAGTATCGATAAATTAATCAACATCTTCTCGGGGCAAAACGTTGCCAGCTGCCATTGAATCGACCGATGCTATTTTAAGAAGCATTCAAAGTTTCCCGACTACATTCTGCTATTAAGGTTTTACTGGCCAATGGCATGGTCAGCGGCACTGAAAATTAGCCCAAAACGCATATGCCATAAATCCTGACCCGAGCTGAGTGCCAGACAACCGCTCAAACTATGAAACGAAACTTTATTGACCCACAAATAACGTGCAGATAATTACAAAAACAAAGGCAACTGCCCCCAGGAAAACAAATGTGTCCGTTGTGGGGGATGGAAAAAAATCCTGAGCAAATGGCAGGAAGTAAGGACTAATGGACTCGACTAGAAAGTAGCCAGTAGCCAATGCTTGGAGGAAAGTAATTATTTGTTGTTTAAAACATATGGCTTGGAGAATAAAATGAATACTCTCAATTTTATAATATTATAAATGATGTTTCAGTTCATTAAATACTCAATTAAATACAATACAATATACCCTAGGACAGGGTATCGAAAAAAGAGCAAAGAAAATACCATGGCAAAGTGGAAAAACTACTTACAAGTATGTTAACATGCGCAATTGTTGCCGTTGTCCAGCGCCAGGACCTCCGGGCAAACTCAAGCCAAGGAGCAGCAGCAACAATGCCACGGAAATCTTTTCTTTTCCGGCCAGAGTTTTCCCCCACCTCTGCGCCACTGTGGGTTTTTCCCAAAGATGCTCAAGTTTATTTGTTGTGGTCATGGCAGAAAGTAATCCAAAAGATAAAATACAATAAAATAAAAGGCCAAGGCGGTGAGTTATGTCCGAAGTTGTTGTTGCCACTGCTGCTTCTGCATTGGTGGGCTGGTCTCGCACAGACAATACCTTAAAGCAACCCATGTGTTGTCGTCTGTCGAGCGAGTGTGCATAATTTATATGGCGAGCTTCACATGTTTTTGGCTAAATTATTTCCCTGGCCCGGAGCACGTGCTGCTACGGGCCACGCGGCCTTCAGGTCAACCGTTTGGGCCATAAATTTAGACGCCTGCCCTGCGACACGCTCTATGACATTATTGAACTTGAAAGGGATACGACGGGGCAGCAAAACAATAAGCAGAATCGGAAGAAGAGGGGCCGGATCAGGGACCAAAAACACACAAAAGCCACCGAACTGACCTTGTAAACTCCGGTGATTGTTTTAAATTTGGTCTTTATAATGCTAAGCCGTTCGACAAAACGAAATATAGGTGAAATGTTCGGGAATGCCAGCACGTTTCATTATCATGCTGTTTAAAGTTCACTGACAAAATAACATTTTCAATTTGCACTTATGTAAGATACAAGTATTCTGAATTCCTATTCCACAAATAATCATAAAATATATTTTCAATCTGAGCTATAGACTGAGAGCAATGAAACTGAATAATAACATTTGCAGTGCTAAGTAATGAGAATATTAAGCCAATTAAATTTGCTGATAAGGCAGATGATTTCTTCGAATTTATTCGCTGCAAGGAAAGATTATATGTTGGGTTTTGCCGAGACCGTAATAAAATTCAAAACAATACCAAATATTTTTAAGTTTTATAATAATGTTCTCAGTGCATTCAGACTATCAGTCTTTGTGATATGAGAACGACAGCTCGCCACTGCTCCAGTTGTTGAGAATTGCTTTGTTTGCAATGATGATTGCCGCTGAATGGTTTTTTATACTCGCTTTGCTGATTCGCTACGTGTCGTCTCAGCTTCTGGATCCGCAATGCTCTCATTACTCTCCCAATGAAAACCAAGACGCCCCTTGGATAGCACAAATTATATCGACCACAAAAAACTGCACTGGCGTGCTTATAAACAAACGTTGGCATTGGTGATAATAATAAAAAAAACACATATAATAACGATATATTTAATTTTAGATTTTGTATTGACCGCAGCAAGTTGCGTGGCTGAGGGAAAATCCAGGTGAGTCAGTTTTGTTAGCTAAATTTTTGTTTATTAAGCAGTTACCTTTGTACAGTTTCTTTTGCCTGAGTTCCGATTGTCCCAATTGGATCCCCGTCAAAACAGTCCACATTCCCAAGCCATATAACGCAAATGGGAAGGATATAGCTCTGCTCGAACTTAAAACGCCTGTGGACTATAAACGCATACGGCCAATATGCATTTTGTTGACGGAATTCAATTTAGAAGACGGCATGATTCTTAAAGGCTGGACCGGAAGATCAAGAACGACCAAAATTACTAAACTGAATAATATAGACTGCCGTAATTCCTTCGGTAACTTTCCCAATAGTCTTCAGATCTGTGCTGGCTCCAAAACCAACAAAGTGTGCGAAGAATATGGAAGTCCTCTGGGCATTGATGCATTTAGTTCGAGTTTAGCTGGTTACGTACTTATCGGAATTCAGATGTACGGCGCTTCAGGAATTTGTGTTTATTCCGATATATCAGCGTATATCGATTGGATAGTATCAGTCGTCCTAAAGGTCGAAATCTTAATTAACGTTTTAAGTTATACTTAATAAAAAGTATTCGAAACCTGCAAAAGGAAAATCTCTATTCAGCAATGTTTTGTATACAAATTTTCATTTCGGGTTTCTTTTTAATTAGTTTTATTCATCATTATACGTAAATAAATAAATTTTACGTATAAATGGACAATAATTTAAAGTTAATTTTGTCATTCTATTATTTGTTCTCTAACTCCTGGCAAATATAATACATAATATTTTAAAACCCTGAGATAAAGTATTTAAAAATACGATCAGATATTGGCATGGACTGCAAATAAAAATTGTTCATCTGTTTTTTTTAATCAAAAATAAATCACTTAGAATCGACACACAAGAAACAAAACAAAATATTAATCTTTGGTCACTTATAAGTTGAACTATAATAAACTTAAAAAATAATACAACTTTTTTAAGCAAAAAAAAAATACACACAAAAAAAAATATTTTTATAAAAAAAATTATAAAAAAAAATAAATTATCATATAAAATTGGTGCTCCTCTGTGCTTTATGAAAAAAAATTTAATACTTAATCAAAAACATAATTTGGAGTAAACTAAACATTTATTAACATCAAGTTTTTTGGCATACAACTATTGACAGTAAAAAATATATATGCAAATTCATTGAGTTAAAACTCGACAACATATTAGGAATTTTTGCTCTTCTATATAGCGCCAACATGCTCAAACCTACAGTGTACAAATAAATAAATAAATAAATCTTTATCAGTACTGATTAGCTCGTTGCTCGATTTCACATGGAACAGACGCTCGTCGTCCAGTTGTTGGGAAGCTTTCGGGGAGGAACGATGACTTCCGTAGTTTTTGGTGTTTTAATCTCATGTTTACTGATTCATCTGGGATCGGCGTACTTTCTGGATCCAAACTGTCCGATTGATCCTGATCACAACTCTGTCAGTCCCTTTCCATGGATGGCCTTGGTTATGTTACCTGATAAAAATTGCAGTGGCACGCTGATTTACAAAAGTTTGTATGAATTTCTTAGTCAGACATTTGAAATTATAAAGAATTTTCTTTTAGATTTTGTCATAACATCAGCAAATTGTGTATTTAATCAAAGCCAAATGTAAGTCAACTGAACTTTTTCAGCCTGTTCATCGTTTAATTAATTGTTTTCTTCCAACAGCAAAGTTCTCTTGGGAGAGTTCAACAGAAAACTGAAAAAGAATACCTTTGAGTTTCCCAATAAAGAAATCCTTGTCCGAAGCGTCTACACTCCCAGCCACTACAACGAAAACAATTATAAGAATGATATAGCTCTGCTCCAACTAACTGAAAATGTGCTTTATGAAGCTCACATACGGCCAATATGCATTTGGTTAATAGGTTTTTATATCGATACCGGAAAACAAAACTTTACCACCCCACTTTGGTACTTAACTAAGAAATGGACGTTTCCATTTCCTAAACGCACACTATTTTCCAAACTTGAACTAGATCTGTGTGAGCATTCCTTGGGAATTAATCCAGATAAATCGCAGATCTGTGCTGGCCACGAAGTCAAATTATGCGTGGAGGCTGGAAGTCCTTTGGTCCAAAAGATTACATTTAATAATCGAAGTCGACATGCACTTGTGGGAATTCAGAGTTATGGCGTTTCGAATACTTGTTTATATACCAATATCGAAAGTTACCTGGAGTGGATAGTTGGAATCGTGTTGAAGGTTGAAATCATAGTAAATAATATATTTTAAAAATGATCAAAATATTACCTGTATATAATTAAAAAGAAATTACCACCACCTAAATTTAACACTGTTCAGTGAGTTTTAAAATTCAGATTCCTTGGTTCTTTTTATAAGCAAGCAAGCACACACTTTCGGGCCACCAGCAAATTTGATTGGCCTGGCCTTAAAGCCGAAAGCTGCTGCCTTGCCATTCTATTTATGTTGTTGTGGCTGCAATTGCTCTGGGACCATTTAGCATTTTTCAAGTAACCACATGGGGCTAAGACCGACAGCAGATAGGGCCCGAAATTTAATAGCTGCAAAGCGGGGGCGTTGAAGTATTACAAAACTCTAAACAGGCGCAAAAAGTTTCGCCAAAGAAAATGTTCTTAATTTGATTTCTTCAACGCCCCTGGAGTGCAGTATTTGCGGCCAGGGAGGCGTCTAAATGTGCGTGTATTTTATAAATATATATCCCTACATAGAGAAAGGTATATAAACCAGGGCTCGACTGAAGGGCAGACAAGGTCTAATAAAAAGGCTTGGGCACAAAAGTTTTTAATAAAGTTTTTATACCGCAGCCACGAGCATAAAATCAGGCCACGGGAAAGGGAAAATGGAAATAATTGGGGCAATTTGTTACGAAAGAAATAAAGGTAAGGGGGTTTGGAACAACTCATTTTTTCTTACCTCCTTTGTAAAAACCTTGAAATAGGCAAATAATCGCTTTGATCCTGCCCACAGGAATGTCAACATTCTAGTTGGAGTTTCTTAAACCAGAAAGAAAGGGAAGGCGCTTCAAGTGTCGAGGTCGAAGAGTGCGCGCACAGAGCAATATGCACCGTTTCCCCATGCAGTTTGAATTTCATTTCAAAACAATTTGTAACAGTCTCTCCAATATAGACACACACTCACACGCAGGCTCGCGGCAATCGAAGTTTGGTTTGGCAGCTAAGCAAATTTGCTGCAAGTCTGCCGCTGCCACTGCCGAGTCAGCAGTGCAAGGATGCGCCGCCTGCCTCCTTCATCCTGCATCCTGCATCCTCCATCCTACTTCCCATTCGATCAGATCCGCTTACGATGCACTCTGGATAAAATTTCATAACTTACCAACAAATATGGCAATTTACCTTCACCTAAATAATATATTTAGAATTATTGATTTAAATGTTGGCCAACTTGTTAATTTCTTTTTTCTAGTTAAACCGAATAAAGATAAGTATTATATATTATCATTATTATAATAAATGTTTTTGAAATATATATTTAAAATTACCATTAAATAAAAAAGCCATTAAGTCAACTCAGAGCGATCATTTTGGAAGCGTCTTTTAAATATGAAATAAGTCAAAGTTTATTGATCAATCACATATAATACATCTAGTGGGCAAAACCATTTTTTAAAGCTTGTTTTTAATAAGCATGTAAATATATTTTCAAGTTGTAGTTTATTTAGTTAAAAAAGTATATAAAAACATTCTAAACTTTTTTAAATTAGGTTGTCTAGATTTTCTTCGAGTGTTCGATGCGTGTGCATGTCAATAGTTTTGCGCGTTCGCTGACGCTCTTCGCTGCCTTTTTCTTTTTGATGAATTGACAGGCAATGCTATTTGTCAGCAGTCAATGTGTTTGTTACATTTTATTGCCAGCTGGTTGCTGCTGCTGATGTTGCTGCTTCTAATGTTGCTGCTGTTGCTGTTGCTGCTGTTGCTGTTGCTGCTGCTGTTGCTGTTGCCATTGCTGCTGCATTGTTAATGTCAGGCGTTAGGGCATACGCTAAACATGGAGAGCAAGTTATTTGTCTGCATTTTATATGCAATTTCTCTATGCATCTCGCTGTTCGACAGACGGCCTGACAGGACAAAAGGACGAAAAGGAGGAAAGAAGGGAAAGGGAGGAGGAGGAGGGACAGTGGCAGGCAACACCAGCAAATTGTGTTGTATTGTGCTCGCATGCATCCGACAGTCGACAGCTGAGATGGCTATAGCTTCTTCGATTTGCATGGTCGCTGTTTGAAATAGATTACGCATCCGGCGTGCCAATTGCCCCTTGAACTTTGATCAGCGGACGGAGCGGAGGTCACTGCTGTCAATCAAAGAAATTGTTCTGCCTTTCTATTGAATGCAATCAACTTTTTGTTCAATAACAGTGCAATTTTAATAATAAATCTCAGTTTCCGAAGCAGGTGAAGTTGTCGCCCCTGGTAACGCTTTTAATGAAATTCATTCGAATGGCAAAAAATATATATCCTGTAAATCAATTAGGTGAGCTACCTGCAGAGACTTTTTCCCTGATCCAAGCCTATCTTAATTTAATCTAAAGAATTCAGCCAGGTGCTGATTTCTTCCTTTCATCACATTTCGCAGAGCTGCCTCAGTTTGCATGGGAATTTATATTTTTCTGTAAACGAGAAACCATTTTGCACGACTCCACATACACGAATCCTTTTATACTTTCAATGCAATGGAATCAGGTTTTGTTCCTTCCCTTTTTTACGTGAAAAGTTTGCAAATCTTTAAATCAACTTTTGATAGGAGGAAAATATTTTTCTTTGCAAGGCTCATCAAATTTTACACTGATGTCGTCAGAATACTCGGATCCAAAAATAGCTTAAAAATCAGCGACATTCTGGTTTCCTATGTTGTTTCCGGTTAAAACATTTCTTCGCAATTCGGTTTTACGTTATGGTTGCGTTTTATAAATAAGTGCATGTCAACATAAATTAAAATACTCCCGGTTGATTAATAATGCACAACGAAAATGTCACAAAGAAATATGATTGTACGACTGTTCCCTCACTTAATTCCCTCCACTTCTTTAGCAGCTCACTGAAAAGTAACCTGAACGAATCAGCAACAAGGCAAATGGAACAAGGGATATTGCCGAAAAGAGAAATCCACATTTGAAATGCCCTTAAAATGTGTATATGATTTTTGGTAATAATATCACTCGGTGTTTTTTTAAATGACAAAACTCTAAAAACGGTGTTAAGTATGCTGCTCTTAAATATATAAAGTTTATCCACAGTGTAAATTCATACAAAATACATTTATAAGAATATAAAAATATGCAATACAATATTTACATTTAAATTTTTATAATTTTTTTAGTTTAAATTTTTAAAATACATTATGTTGATTTTTTCTTGCCTTTTAAATATTTTTAAAAATGTGTGAGCAAATGGCAATTGTATTTTGTTTTAAACAAATTTTATGTTTCTTCCAAGCAAACTCATAGTACAAAGCCCCAAATAAAATCACTGTACTCAACCCTATTGTAAGTGTGGAAAAACATTTTATGCCAGCACAAAAATAAAGTCATTAAAATTGTAAATATGTATACAAGTGGAAGCCCGGAAAGGAGGAGCTTACTGGGACGAGGAAAGAGGAGGACGAGATGACGCAGCCATCCTGTGTGCGTGCAAGAAATGGAAATGCGGTTAATTTCCGTAAAGTATGCAATAATTTCTGGCACTGAGCATAAGCAAGTGCACCCAGTGTGTGTATATGCGATTGCATGTGGATACACGAGTATTTGTGCCTGTGCGAGTGCAGCACAACAAAAGGCAAAGAGTTAAATAACTGCCACGCCTCCCCGCCCCTTACAAGTAAATCTCTTTGGCAGCCTGCAAAGACGGAACTAACGAACAAACGGACATTCATCAATATAAATCAACCGACGGCCACAAGCCAGGCCCAGTTGCAAGGATTTGGGGTATGGGGCGATAGCCCACATCCAGGGATGACAACAGTACCGATTGCACAGTGTTATTCCAGGAGGAAAATACGATCATTTTGTAACTTGTTTTTAAGAAGATTTTTGCATCTCTATTTTTTAACTTTAAATAATATTATTAATAAAGAAATTATATAAATATAACATTTATAAGTTATTTATTCGAATTGTTAATGTTCTATCAATATATATTTTTAAATATTTTATTAAATATTAGAAAATAAATAGCTAAGCACATCTTTTTCATTTAGTAATCGAGATTTAATAATCGAGATTACTTACACAATATATAATTGTATTGAGATACATATAATTTGTTTTTGATTATGAAAACTTTATTATTTTAACTGTCTGTCTAAGAAAGTTATACGTACTTTAAATTGTATTCATATTATACATATACATATATTTAAATATTAGATTATTCCATTTTTATAAATTGTTTTAATCATTTCCAACTTTGGAATATTTTTACTTAAAATATATATTTTAGACGATATATATTGTATTGAAATTTTCCAGTCGATAAGCATCCCTACCGAAAGAGAAACCGTTGCAGGAGGAAGAGGCCGCCCCAGCGGAATAAATAAAAACATTTTTTTGTATAAAAATTGCTGCGAATTGGTTGGCAAGCGGGGCAGTGTGGAAATGGAAGGAGTGGAAGGGGCCAGGCGGCTGTAAAAATGTTGGCCAAAGAAATATTTTCACAATTTTATTTATTTTTTCTTATTCGGCAAATGGCAAGCGGACGGCTTCGGTCGGTCCCTGGGTTTCGGCTCTCGGTCCTAGGTCCTGAATGTCCTTGCAGCTGCTGCTGTTGCTGTTGCCACAGTAGCATTTTCGTTTCATTATGTTCCGCGTGCCTAAAGGATTGCAATATATATTTGAATTTTTTTTCTGTCCCTGACTGAATCGTTTGCATGTTGCAAGGGAAAAGGCTTTCCCTCTTGCACTTGCACATCGGCATGCTTTACAACACACAGAAACGTTGAGGCCACGCATTTTGACTTCGGTATTTGCGGCTTTTTATGTAATTCATGGTCATTCCCCATATGCATGTGCCTGCAAATTTACTGCCTGGCGAAAAAAACAAAATATATGCACGGATTTGGGCAGAAACAAGCCTTCCCGAAAATCATGTAATTTATGCGTTTTTTCGTGCAGTTGCAGCCGAGATGATACAATCAAAGTAAAAATCATGGGAGGAAAAAGTCAAAAGTCTTGTTAATCCATTTAAAATTGGAAGATATGTTTGAATAAAAATGTACAAATAATATAGTAGTAAAGACAGAAAGATATAAATGAAATTCGAATAGGAAAGTCTACCGACTATTTTTAGTATAAAAGTTTATAACTACTCTTTATTATACTTTTATACTGAATGGAAAAAATGGAAAATTCTTACCATTTTAATGTGTTACCTTTTTGAACAAATAACAGTCTCTTTTCCTCGGTGTATTTGAATGGCGGTGCATTTTATTTGTCATTTCCGGTTTGTGCCGGAAGTTGAAATTATTGAAATCAAACGGAAATGCATCGAAGCAAATGCATAAAAAACCGGGAGCCGAAAACTCTGCTTAACCCATTTCATATCACGGGGTTAACTCATGTTGTTGCTCAGACATTAAGCATGCTACCTGGTATTTTCAAATATAAATGAAAATTTAATAGGTGAAGCCAAACATTTATATACTTAAAACTACCTAGTCGATAAACATAATTTAAAGAAAGTAAAAACTACTCCCAACTGTTTGGAAAATACCTTTGGCAGCGCGGCACAAAATGGGTTAAAGTACGACTTCGATTTAACAACGATCCATCTGTCTAGCTGTGTGTGTTTGCCTTCGCGCACACCATAAATAAATATATAAATTTAAATAAATGCTGCCACAATGCCCGCACACTCACAGTTTGTTTGTCAATAAATCAGAATACTTATCAACGTCAAACGACCGCAAAGAATGCAGGCAAACAACATAAGCGACCGAGGACCAAATGTGGGTGCGTACGATATTCTGCACCGGTTTATTACGCGCCATTAAATTTATTAAAGAAAGGAAAACAAGGCAAGCTAATAGAAAATAGTGCCTTTGCTCGATGCGGTTAACCTGGAAGTATAATAAATCAATATACACATTCCCAAAGAGTTATTAAATTTGTTTGGTAAAATGTTAAATAGTTATATGACACTACAAATAAAACAAAATATTTGTATTCTTATAATTTATGTATTTATTTTGTGCAGTGCAGCTACACTTGCTCTATCTATGCTTTATCCAACATTTTGGCCGTCAATTTATGGCCAGTCTGTACTTATTTTCCCCTCCACAAAACCCAACCGTCCTCCATTTAGCCACACTGTTTGGGGCCTAGTCCCGAACTAAGTCCGCTAATTGCGCCGCCTTAGCCCGGCCAACTCGACAGGGATCCGGCCATCTCCCCCCTCCATAATTATGTGAAATGTGCGCCATTTCTTCGGCCTGTTGCCTGTTATTGTTTGCATTATTAGCTGACAATTTCAGTGGCACTGTGATGCCAAGTGGCGGGTCTGTGATTAGACAGGCTCTTGGGGCCCTGGAAATTGTGGGATTAGCAGGCGCATTGTCTGTGGCTGGGAACTTGGACGGAGGAACAGCAGCCTGTCGCTCGATAAGCGCCCCGGGGCAAGTCGGTTCCAAGAAGTTGGTGTTTTTCTTGCATAATTACGGCCATAAGCCAAAGGCTTGTTATTACAGGCCAAGGAACTGGGAGAATTCCTAGAACGCCGCCCGAAACCAAATCGATTAAATCAATGTTGGTCTTAAAAGTGGCTAATTTAAGACATTTATTGTACTAACTATTCTCGGAGATGGCGTTTTTATTTTTTATTAAAAAATGAAATATTTAAATATTATCAAAATGTTATTCATTGAAATCAATAATATATTAGGGCTTTAACTTAAAAGACTTTAACGTTTAAAAACTAACATTTTGTTTTAATTTTTATTATAAATTTTTTTATCTGAAACATTACCAATTTTGAACACGCAGCGAACAGTTTCCATTTACATCCTTTTTGTATTTAAAGTGGGGTAAATATTTTAGAATTTACCTGAATCGCTTGCAAAAGCCTTTGTCAACATCGATGGACCGCTGTGACCAGGCCCTTTGTTTTAGTTTTTGTGAATGCGCAATTGTTCAATGTCGCCATGGTTGTGGCATGCACAAAGCGCTGATTGCACAGCCCACCCACGCACTAAAGCTTTCAGGACCCACGTTTTTTTCGGCGCTGACATGTCCAGGCGATGGTCAAAAAAAGCAAACCCATATATGTATATTCAATAGGCCCACGCTTGCCAGAGTGTTTTCCGACGTTTTTCTGTAATTCGTTGTAGTTTTTTCCAAGTTGGCTTTCAGCTAGGGCCCAAAAAAAGCGGCCTGCCTACATAAAGGCGCTAGCATATTAAAGGCTTAAACCCACTCAACGGCAGATGCCATATTGTTGAAATGTATGCAGATACGTCGCGCATACGTCATGTGGAGATGGAATCCGGTTCGCAAAATGCATTCCATTCAAGAAGCGTACAGCGATTTTTCATTGCGAGCGTTTAAGCAATCGAATGTAGCCAGATAAAGCAAATTTTGCAATTAAAATTCTGCAGGACATTTACATAGGGCTTAAGGACTGTCAAATGTATCGTGTTTTTTTTTTGGTTTTGTTGTAAGGCAAATTAAAAACATCTTGGTTACCGGACAGTGCACTAGTCGTACATTTAAAAAAGAACAAATGAAATTTATATACCTATAACTTTAGGTGTAAGACATAGCTAAATTAAACAAGAAAAGAAGCAAACTTCGGCAAGCCGAAGTTTATATACCCTTGCAGTTATTACAAATCGACTACATTTCGATTTCTATGCCTATATTACTAAAAGGTGGCCCATAACTGGACTTCTGAAGTCCATATCTTTACCAAATTTTATCCGATTTCAAAGTGGCATACCTCTAAAGACTCCTAATTCGATTCTCAAAAAATCTGCATCAAAATTTTTCATTTTAGTATTGGTCTAATTTTTGAACCATTTTCATGTCATTTATTTCCAAGTTTCCGATGTGTTGTTAAAAGGTGGCCCATAACTGGACTTTCAAAGTCCACAACTGTACCAAATTTTGTTCGATTTCAAAGTAGCATAGGATATAGTCGGCCGATATCGGCCGTTCCGACTTATATACTGCGTGCAAGAGAAAGAAGGGTATGTGCAAAGTTTCAATTCAATATCTTTAAAATTGAGAAACTAGTTCGCGTAGAAACAGACAGACGGACAGACGGACAGACAGACATGCTTATATCAACTCAGGAGGTGATCCTGATCAAGAATATATATACTTTATAGGGTCGGAGATGTCTCCTTCACTGCGTTGCACACTTTTGACCAAAATTATAATACCCTCTGCAAGGGTATAAAAAGCCTTTAAAACTAGTATTTTTTAAGTTAGTTTCATATTGCTACGTGATCTTGCAATCGAATCAAAGAACTCGGTTTTCCATGTATCGATCGAAGCCGGCCTGGAACCTTTCGCAATGCTGTCGTCGTGCCGTTAGATCTCATTCAGTATATATTTTCGCTCCGAACAACTTCCAAATTGTACAGCAAAAATTTGAAAAAAAAAATAAAAAAATTTACTATTTTTCTATATAAATTGTATTTTTGGCAAATTTGAGTCAACAAAATGTGTTCGCCGTGCGGTCCATGCAGTCCCTGTGATCCCTGCTGCGGTCCCTTCGAGTGCTCGCCCAAGTGCTACAATGCGGCCCAGTTGGAGGCACTCCCGCAATGTGCTCCCCGCATCCCGCCTCCCTTTCCCAAATGCATCACCGTCCAGCAGCCGCCACGGATGATCTGCAAGAAGCGGGTGGTCTTCACCGAAAAGATTGTGCCGGAGCCGATGGTCGTCAACAGATGCAGGCAGATCACCATTCCGAAGGTGGTGGATGCCACGAGGGTCATCAAGGTGCCAAAGCTGATCTGGGTGTCGCAGATGGTGCGAGAGCCTAGGGTCATCTACTACCCATCGATGATCCCCGATCCTTACGTGGTGTGCTATCCCAAGCGGGTGTGCGAGCCTAGGGAGGTGTGCCAGTCGATTCTGTGCCAACCCAAGCCCCAAACCATCGACATCCCGCCCCCGCGGGAGTACTGCTGCTACCCCAATGGACCCATCAACTACAAGCCGAGTGCCGCCTGCCCACCCTGCCCCATTGGACCATGTGCCCCCGGAGGACCCTGCTGCCCACTGCCTTGCTTCTCCACCAACCAGTATCCCGTCGCCGAGGGCAGGTGTGGACCCTGCGGACCTTGTGGTCCGGGCTGCGGACCCTGCGGACCGCGATGTGGCCCCTGCGGACCTGGTGGCTGTGGACCCTGCGGTCCTTGTGGTCCGAGATGCGGTCCTTGCGGCCCGTGCGCCGTGCCGAACTGCGGGCCCTGCGGCCTCACGATGCCGTCGGGTCCGTTTGTGCCGTCTCCGTTGGGTCCCTGCGCCCCCTGCAATACTTGCGGGCCGTTCGGCAACAGTCCCGCCGGACCTTGCGGCCCCTGCGGACCCTGCTCGCCCCCGTGCCCGTACGAATCGCCGGAGTGCGGGCCCTGCTATCCCTGCGCCCCGACTCCCTGGAACACGCACTGCGGCCCAGTCGGTCCCTGCGGTCCTCAAGTTCCCTGCGGTCCTGGCGGACCCTGCTAGGAACGCCGTCCTGCCGGCGTCCGGATCGCCCTTTGTCAGAAACCAGTGCCCTGTGGACCAACTTGTATATCGAATGCAGATCATCATAACGTTATCGCTGTCTTGCCACAATCCACTACAAAAGTCTATAGTTCACTTTGCCTTGTCAACGCATTGACGACTCATTGGCTGTAAATAAAAATCGGAATTAAGCGCATGTCACTATTCTACTTTTTTGACAGATAAAGCGGGGTCTACTCTTCAAGGGATAAATCCCTGTGGTAATTTTATTTTAAAATTTAAAACCCTAAATTTCTAGTAGGCTTTGCCTTCGCTTGTCAGCCTAGTCATGATGTTTGGTAAGTTAAAGCTGCCATTTCGAAACCAGTTTCGCTTCGACACACTTCCAAATTTCTCTGATCAAATTTTGTACAAAAAAAAATAATTAAATAAATATTTTTATTCAGATCCAACCTTGGTTAATTTTTATAGAATCAAACCATGTGCTCTCCGTGCGGTCCTTGCAGTCCCTGCGATCCCTGCTGCGGTCCCTTCGAGTGCTCGCCCAAGTGCTACAATGCCGCCCAGTTGGAGGCACTGCCGCAATGTGCTCCCCGCATCCCGCCTCCCTTTCCCAAATGCATCACCGTCCAGCAGCCACCGCGCATGATCTGCAAGAAGCGGGTGGTCTTCACGGAGAAGATTGTGCCGGAGCCGATGGTGGTCAACAGATGCAGGCAGATCACCATTCCGAAAGTGGTGGATGCCACGAGGGTCATCAAGGTGCCAAAGCTGATCTGGGTGTCGCAGATGGTGCGAGAGCCTAGGGTCATCTACTACCCATCGATGATCCCCGATCCTTACGTGGTGTGCTATCCCAAGCGGGTGTGCGAGCCCAGGGAGGTGTGCCAGTCGATCCTGTGTCAGCCCAAGCCCCAAACCATCGACATCCCACCCCCGAGGGAGTACTGCTGCTACCCCAATGGACCCATCAACTACAAGCCGAGTGCCGCCTGTCCACCCTGCCCCATTGGACCATGTGCCCCCGGAGGACCCTGCTGCCCACTGCCCTGCTTCTCCACCTGCCAATACCCCGTCGCCGAGGGCAGGTGCGGACCTTGTGGACCGTGTGGACCAGGATGCGGACCTTGTGGACCGTGTGGACCAGGATGCGGCCCCTGCGGACCGGGTTGCGGACCATGCGGACCCTGCGGACCCTACGGCTGCGGTCCATGCGGACCAGGATCTTGCGGCTTCGGTCCTTGTGGACCTTGCTAAGGCGGGCAGCAAAAATGTACATAACGTATGCCAAAACCATCCTGTGACGCCCCTACGTTTTGGAAGTCTGCAACCAAATATATGCCAGTCCAAAATAGAATCTGCAAGTTTCGTATAATAAAGAAGTGCGTTTGATACAATATTTTGACAGCCTTTATTTTTGGGGAAATCAACAGTGAGTTCTTTAAATAGGGCTCTGATATGCGAAATATATGGAATTTTTAATAAAATACTAGTACCTTTGTCGAATATAAGAAAATATGTATTCTTCTTTCAACAGGTTTTTATGGGAAAATGTTTTAAGCATGCTACTTTTTTATAGAATGAAAATAATGCAATCCAGTTTAAAGAGTATTGATGTCGGAAGAACAGGTAAGCATTTCTTGTCATTAAAAACAAGAAAGGAAAGCTAACTTCGGGCGGAGCCGAAGTTGATATACCCTTGCAGAATACTCTGTAAATTATATTCTCCAAAATTATTCATATGATGCATTCTTAATACTCATAAAAAATCCGAACTTCCTAGCTTTAACAACAACAAAGTTATGGCATTTCCAATCGTTCAGTTATATGGTAGCTATAGGATATAGTCCGCCGATTCTTATGAAATTTGGTAGGTCGGATTGATTGGCCAAATATAACACCCACAGAAAATCCCAAATTCCTAACTTTACAAACACCAAAGTTATGGCATTTCCGATCAATCAGTTATATGGCAGCTATAGGATATAGTCGGCCGATCCTTATGAAATTTGGTAGGTCGGATTGATTGGCCAAAAATAAAATCCATAGAAAATCCCAACTTCCTAACTTAACAAACACCAAAGTTATGGCATTTCCGATCAATCAGTTATATGGCAGCTATAGGATATAGTCGGCCGATCCTTATGAAATTTGGTGGGTCGGATTGATTGGCCAAATATAAAACCCATAGAAAATCCCAACTTTCTAACTTTACAAACACCAAAGTTATGGCATTTCCGATCAATCAGTTATATGGCAGCTATAGGATATAGTCGGCCGATCCTTATGAAATTTGGTAGGTCGGATTGATTGGCCAAATATAAAACCCATAGAAAATTCCTAACTTTACAAACACCAAAGTTATGGCATTTCCGATCAATCAGTTATATGGCAGCTATAGGATATAGTCGGCCGATCCTTATGAAATTTGGTAGGTCGGATTGATTGGCCAAAAATAAAATCCATAGAAAATCCCAACTTCCTAACTTAACAAACACCAAAGTTATGGCATTTCCGATCAATCAGTTATATGGCAGCTATAGGATATAGTCGGCCGATCCTTATGAAATTTGCTAGGTCGGATTGATTGGCCAAAAATAAAATCCATAGAAAATCCCAACTTCCTAACTTAACAAACACCAAAGTTATGGCATTTCCGATCAATCAGTTATATGGCAGCTATAGGATATAGTCGGCCGATCCTTATGAAATTTGGTGGGTCGGATTGATTGGCCAAATATAAAACCCATAGAAAATCCCAACTTTCTAACTTTACAAACACCAAAGTTATGGCATTTCCGATCAATCAGTTATATGGCAGCTATAGGATATAGTCGGCCGATCCTTATGAAATTTGGTAGGTCGGATTGATTGGCCAAATATAAAACCCATAGAAAATCCCAACTTCCTAACTTTACAAACACGAAAGTTATGGCATTTCCGATCAATCAGTTATATGGCAGCTATAGGATATAGTCGGCCGATCCCGGCCGTTCCGACTTATATACTGCGTGCAAAGGAAAGAAGGGTGTGTGCAAAGTTTCAATCCGATAGCTTTAAAACTGAGAGACTAGTTTGCGTAGAAACAGACAGACGGACAGACGGACAGACGGACAGACGGACAGACGGACATGGCTATATCAACTCAGGAGGTGATCCTGATCAAGAATATATATACTTTATAGGGTCGGAGATGTCTCCTTCACTGCGTTGCACACTTTTGACCAAAATTATAATACCCTCTGCAAGGGTATAAAAATCGATATCCTAAAGAAACTCTCATGTTAAATTGGTTTACATTTTAGGGGGACAACTCTATGATAGGACAACCGGCTTTAAAAAATTTGATATTTTTATAACAACCCATATATGGTCACTACAAAAAGAGAATATTAAACAAATTGTTCAAATTTGTCACTGAGTAAATTGTCAGCTCTATTTCAACCAGGCATAGCTAACATAAAAACCAGCAACTTTCTAAATTTGTTCTTTTATCGTAAATCATGTCGAAGTATATGGCCAGAGTGGGTCCTGCGGTTTTCTCCAAGCTGGGCAAATGGGCCTACGAAATGTCCGGATTCAATCAATACGGTCTGCATCGCGACGATTGTCTTTATGAGAACGAGGATGTGGCAGAGGCAGTGCGTCGCCTGCCCCGCAAAATGTACGATGAGCGAAACTATCGCATTCTACGGGCACTCCACTTGTCCATGACCAAAACGATCCTGCCCAAGGAGCAGTGGACCAAGTACGAGGAGGACATCAAGTACTTGGAGCCCTACCTAAATGAAGTGGTAAAGGAGCGGGAGGAACGCGAGGAGTGGAACAAAACTCATTGAAAATCAGTGTACTTATAAAACATAGTACTTCAAAATGAGGTATTACAAATTTAAATCATTAATTTCTTTATATAAACATTAATCAATATTTTAACAACTACAGGTGCACCGTGGTCTGTAAACAGTTGCAAGTAATAAACCAAACTAATAATCAAAAAACTAAGACCATTAAGACTATGTTCAAATGCATTCACTTTTAAAATAAAATATTGCTTTAATATCATATTTAAAAAATTAGCTTACTCTCAGTTTAATTTTAGCCCGTCTCTCAAAATCAACATCCGATTTAAAATCCTTTTCGATCCCCTGGAATGTCAATGCAAATAATTTTCGCATTCATTGCATTGGCATAAATGCAATATATGAAATTCATTAACAGCGAAAACAATACAAATTAGTGCGAGGGGGCGTGACCCAGCCGATGAACACGTGTACGCCGCCCTCCGAATTTAAAATGGTAGGGGGCGTGGCAGCGTCGGAGGCAAACAAAATGCGTATGCATGGCCCGCACATCCTGTCAATCCTCGTATACTTATGCGCATCCTGTTTAAAATGCAGCAAACAGCAACAATGCAGCTGCAGTGGCAGATGCAGATGCATACTCGCGGCCCAACATTTATATCTGCATCTCTGCCGCTGTCTGATTGTTCTGGCGCTGCCGTTCGACCGGAAGAAATTATTGTTATTCGAATTGATCTGCCATAGTTTCGATGTTGTCCAGTGCGATAGGCAATGCCGCTGCCACCGAAGCGATATCGCTGCGTCTGCGGCCAGTAAATGCCGGAGTTCTGATAACGTCAACGCAGGAGAGTGCAGCGAGCGATATTGGTACCCTATAGTTGTTGCGAGTTTGGGTATATATGGTATTCATGAAAAATACATTTTTAAAAAAATGGTAAACCATTCGAAGTGCTACGAAGGACTTGTAAATGTGTCTAAAAGTATTCAGTGAAAGAGCAAGTGGTCTATCGTGATAATTTCATGAAACTTTGGTTTTCAAAATATAATATATGAATGGACACTTTTAGACACCTTTATTAGTATTTTAAAAGCTAAAGCAATATCTACACCACCTCCATATTTTAAAAGATTTAATTGTTATACAAAACAAGAATAGAAATTTATGACAAGTCAGTTAAGGAACTATAAGAAAAATTAATAAGATCAAGTTATTATTTAGAATTAGAGAAAAATTAAAAAAAAAAAACCAAACAAAATTTTAAAACTTGGGCAATGTTAGTAACAGGATATTTCTTGGAATGATCCGGCGTTTATGGCCCTTTTTCTTGTTTTTTTTCCATACCGCCATCGTTCGCGTTATTTATTTGCGCTCACATATGCATAAATAACGGGGGGCGGGCGGCAATCCCACCCACCCAACACACAAATGCCCAACTGCCGCTTGTACAATAAATTGCAAAAATATTATTTTATCAACAATAATTAATTAAATGCACTTAATTGCGTGCCGCAGTCGCAGTTGCTGTTGCAGTGTTGTTGCTCGGTTTTAATTTTTTTATTTATTTTTGTTGCCTTATTTTTGTGTATATTTTCAGCTTGTCCCCTGTTCGACCTTGTTTTTATGCAGCTGCTACTGATGTGGGCGGGTTGGCGCTGGATGGGTGGTATCTGAAACATGGTCATCTGCATGCATATGCTTGAGCAGCGTTGTAAGTAGCCATGTAAGTGGACAAGTGGCCAACCGTCCTCGCTCACCATTTTTCCCTTTCGACCGAAACTCTTTCTGCGATTTATGCGTATTTTTAAGCGGCATTAAGTGCGCGTTAACATCTTATGAAGCCGGCAACGGCAACAATAAATTATTGCAGCAACAGCAGCAACATCTGGATGGCCATTAACCGCCCCGAAACAAATGCTAATTGACGAGTGCCAGAAAATGTGCTTTAAAAAAAAGCGGTAAGTCGCCCTGAAAGCTTAATGAGTTGTGCAGCTAATTGGGGAACTGCAACTGCAACAGCAACAGCAGCAGAAGTTGCAGCTGCAACCTGCAACATCTCGAGCTGTTTCATTTGCATTGTTATTGCGGCAAGTTGGAGGGCTTGGTTTCGGTTTGTTAATGAAGTTTGTCGGCCGACATGCGGCAGGGAGAAATATTATGCATACGCCATGTTGGCCAAAAGTTTTACAAATCCTGTCCTGTCCTGTGCTATCCCTTCCTTTCCTTTTCCCGGCCATGGACACTGCACGTTCTTTGGACACATTTAGTCTGAGGATATGTGTGTGTGTGTGTTTGAGTGTGTATGGTAATTTACAATCCCCTGCGCATGCAATGTACACATGCCTGCACGTGTATGAGTAAATTGTTAAATTTATACACAAAAGCAACGCTGCGCTGCAACTGCCAAAGTAATTTGCGATAAGTGCGTCAGATTCTTTGGGGAATTTTCGACCAGCAACCACAGAAGCAGCATCACCATCGCCGAAAACAGCAACTACGACAACAACTACGACAATAATAATGCAACCGCAACAACAAGTGAAGTAAAAAGTGAATATTTATTCGGTTTTGTGAGGGGTCCGCCAGCATAAACGAAACTGTAATGCCCTGCGATCAGGCGTTAAGATTAAAGCCTTCTCGCTTTGGGGAAAATTAAGTTTAGCTGCACTTTGATTAAAGAACTTCTTTCGGGGTGTTTTTGAGTTCACTGTTCTGCAATTACCTTTGAAGAGGGGAAAGGAAATAAGGAGTTATTCGATTACATTATCCACAGTGCGTTTCAAAAATAGTATTCAAATGTAATAAATGTTCAAAAATATGTTGGAATAATAATAAAACTAATAGAGCAAAGTTAAATTTGTCATAAGCCTATAGAAGAAATATTTTAAGGAAGCATCACATTAGAGATACTGAATTTCTTTTAATTAAGAAACACACTGCCTATAAATGTAGTTTCAAATGTATTTTTATGGAACCCAGTTAAATAACTCATAAGAATTAATAATATACAGATCTGAAACGTACTGTCCATAAAAATATTTATAGAGATGTCCAAGAGACATTGGCCATCAGGCAACTTCTGGCCAAGCCAAGATGGAAGTCGGCTCAAAAATCCAACGCACATTTCATTTGCGGCTTGTCCTGCCCACCACAACTCCACATGTGTGTGTGTGTTGGCCAGAGTATCTGTGTGCGGCTCCCTTCTGTAAATAAGTCCTTAAATATATGTGTGTGTAAAAAAAGGCAATTTGTATTTCAGCGTGTGCTTTTTTTCAGCGCTGCCCCGCAATGCTGTAATAATAAATTGCATAAAAGTATGCAATGAAAATAAAAATGCCAGTGCGTAATTAATGAGTCAAGGTGGTGTCATATGGTGCTTACCCACACACACACACACACACATACCAACACACACACACACTCTGAAGGGAGATGGAGACATGCGACTTTGCTGTACATTGCGTGTTAAGTCGCGTATTTCATGGCGTTTATTTATTATGCACAAAGTGCCACCAGAAACGGGGCAGGAGGATAACTCCCCTTCCAGTCAACGGCTCAGCAAAATTATTGACTCAATTTGTAAGCTTGCACAGCAACAAACGCAGATAGCGGGGCAATAACACACACATACACCTGGGGCCAAGACAATAGATATGCCGAAATCTTCCTTAAGGTAATCTCTTGGCGTAAAAGCTTTACAGTCTCTTCTATTTTAGTTTTATATTGTAACAGTTGTGACTTGTTGAAACTGGATTTTTGTGAGATATAGTTCTGCTGCTTGAATTATAAGCAAAGAGGTATGTTGCTTTATTTTGTTTTTTGGATTAAGGATTAGAAAATTTATGGAAATGGTCAATCACACATAGAAGCGTAGAGTTAAGTAAGTCTAGAGTTTAAGTAGGATAGTCTTAGTGCTATTTTTTCGACCGCCACTGTGCTCACACTCGCACACTCGAGAGGCGTACGTGTGTAAGCCCCGCAGGCGCGTTAATTGCTTATGGGGCGCACATTATTCAGCTGTCATTCGGCAAATGGCAAGCGCAATTCCCTATCCCTGCGATTCTCCTGGTCGAGAAGAAGAAATGGCCAAAGTTGCGGCTTTGGCAAACAATTAGGCAGCTAATTTGCAGCGGCTAAAAGGGCTGGGCGCGACCTAATCCTGTCTTTTCGGGCAGGAGACATGAAAGTGGAGAAGCAGAGTCAGGGACGCTGTCAGTCAGTCAGGCGGTCGCTGGCGAGAGAGGGACTCGGAATTTGGTATGAAATTTGGGCCAGCAGCTAAATCACTGCCAAATCCTTTTGACAAATACGCACACAAGGACGCCCAGACACAACTAAGCTGGGCGCTACTGACTGCTGCTGCCTGCTGAGCTGAAAGGAAACGGAAACACGCTAATATGGCAAGTTATTCAAAAGGCATTCCTGATCGAGATAAATGCACTTGCCGAAGCTCAGCTGATGTTGCACGGGAAAAAAGAAAATGCCTTCGAAAATGCATCTTAAATATCTTAACATATCGATGTAAGTCGATCAGTGCAAAAGTTATCATTGGATTTTAAGTACAATCAAGAAGGTAAATCGAACCTCGAGCTTGTATTTCTCCAAATTTTAACATATATGATTGAATCCACTTTGAATAACTAAATCCATTTTATATCATGTAAAAATAGTATCCCAAAAACTTGTAGAATATTTTACCTACATTACTTTAATCCAAATTAATATTTTGCTCAGTGTGAAAATGTGACTCGAAGAGCTGCCAGCGATGCGTTGTCAACTGAGTGCTCGCCTGTCAACACACCGAAAACTAAAAAGGTGACAAGGACAAAGCGCTCCCTACGCGGCTGTGGTTAACTGCAAGGATGTGTGGATGTCAGGACACTGGGATAGTGGGATAGTGGGATACTAGGATGCCAGCACATGGCAGCTGTCATGCGTGCAATGGAATGGCTCCGATTTCTGGAGCCGGGGATCCGCGGCTTACGGCTAAGTGGCAAAAGTTGCAGTGCTGCATACACAGAAAACTATTTTAAGGCCCGGAAAAAGCATATCTTATAATATATGTTTTAGTCATAATATAGGTAATAATATAACTTTATGCTCTTATTAAGAATAAAACACCTAAACTTGCATTAAATCCTGTTGGTGCTATTAATTGATTGCAATACTTGAGTGCAGTTTTTATGTAATCAAAACTAATGAGATTTTTTTTGAGTGACCTAGGGCATCCATCAGGCAAAGGCAGCCTCATCCTGGTCTGCATCCGCATCCGTATCCGCATCAGAGGAAGCCGTCTCTTGTCAGCCGTAATTTACGCGCATTCACGGTCGCTCCGCTCGCAAATGGCAAACAAAAGACTTAGACACATGGCGGGGTGACAGGAGCCTCAAATCGTTTTGATTTTGCACACACGTCACTGATTCAAAGAAGGACTCTCCGTGGAAGGCGGATGACGCCACATGACAGAGGCTCCACTGACTCCAAGATGCGCTGAAGTTGCGCGAAAATAGTAAATGAAGCCTGCCGACGACGGTTGAATGCGAATAATGAAAAGTTGAATTTGCAAATGATTTGAGTCATTGATGTTGAAGAACAAAGGGAGAAATCAGCCTGAAATAGAGGATGCAATGACTTTCACGAAAGTTATTTAAGTTTTACCAAATTCACAGATGCAAATGGAATTATGGTAAAATAATATTAATTGCAGAGATTTCCTTGAATCGAAATTAATGTGAAAATTATTCATTACAACTAAAAAGCAACAAATAAAGGTTTACAAAACCACAAGGAACTACGGTATAATTAAATCAAAAATAATATGAAAATGATTCATTACAACCAAAACAATTACAATTAATTGAGTTGAAATCATGTAATTAAAAAATACTCAAATTCTTGACCTATGCCGAAATTCAACCAATTACAGATTTTGATTTAGTTACGTTAATAGCTGATACATTTCCAGGCCCTGTAAAATTCATATCATTTAACTCAATTAAAAATACAAATCTGAATGCATTCTAAATAAACAGTAATTAGAATTATTCTTAAAATTAATTATGTGTAAAGGCAAACCAAAATGGTCATTAACTTGTGATTTCTGACTTCATTTAGTTTAAGTTTTCTTGAATAAATAGATTAGATAATTTTTCCAAATAATCTCAATGTTTAACCAAATTAAGCTAATTACATTGTTTGAACAATCATTTTACTCGAGCCCCAAAACATTGTAGCAGCCAAAATACAAATCTCATTTGGTCTGCCATTTGTAATGATAACAATTTAATCCAATAGAAAATAGTTTTGTGAGCTTGCGAATACCCATGGAACATGACGTGCCTGGATAGCAAAATCAATTCTTCCCCACACACACACAAGTAAATTGTGAGGGTGTGCCAAACAGGTGATCATTAGATTTGGCAAGTCGCAAACGATTCGCAACGTATTTACTACATTGAATCGACATTATTACGGAATGGCTGGCTGAATTGAATTGAATTATTATAACAGTTTCTGTTGTCATCGCTGCCAAGCGGTGTTGGTATTGGTGTGTGTGTGTGTGTGTATCTCTGTGTTCGCGCGTCAATAATGTGCCTTTATGTATCTCTGTATCTGTGGCTGGCAAGTACGTGACAGACGCGGTTTGGCGCGATTAAATTACGTTTATGATTATATTTTGTTACAAACACAATGCCATCACACACACACACACACGCAAACACACTGTCATAAACAAATGACACACACACTAGCACACAAACTCAATCAAGAGGGCCATGTCACATTGTATTGAAGTGAAAATGGTTAACAATTGCGGCGGGAACAACAACAATGCTCCATTGATGCATGTTCGTGATGGATTTTCCTATTAAACGTTCACCGCGTCCAACTAAACAAAAGCCTTAATTGAATTTTAATTTAATCAAGAGGGGGTTTGCACTGCGGGAAACGCACCAGTTAAAATCTAAAGCAACAAAAAAAATTTAAGTTAATTAAAAGTGTTAAATTCCATGGACTCTATATTTATATATGATTTTTAGGGATTGGTGCCATTTACAAATAGGCTTTGGCTAAAGTAACAGTGACATTGGTCTTTCAAAATCACAATGAATGTTGATCACAAATGTTTAGTAAAATGTTAATAATTCAGCAACATATTTTCTCAGAATATTTATTAAGCATTAATAAATGGCTAATGAACTTAAGCATTCTATAACAAAATCAGATTTAAAATATATTTTTGAAGTACATATATAACTATAAATATATCTTTCTATCAAAGTTTATATCCAGTTACTCCTTGTTTCTGCTGACTTTGTAACCGTTTTCTTCTCTTAGCTTTTTCTCTCTGCAATCTTAATTTTACCCATCCACTTTGACAACCACGAGATTAACCGCACTTTATGCAAATGGGCTGCTCAAACACTTCTGGCAATCTCAACACTTTCGTGCTCCAAGGAGCCACTTGAACTGCACCTCGAAGTCAACCTCTCGATGCTTTCGTCTCATCTTCGCATCGGCCTCCTGGCATTAAATATCATTCCGGCTGACGCTTACTGCTTATTGCAAACGGGGAAAACAGGGCAACAAAGGATATCGCAGTGGTGCTTAAACATAATATGAAATTAATAACAATCATACGCCACGTTGCCCGCCTGCCAGCCCGTCTGCCTTTTCCGCTTTGCCATTTGCCACTGACAGGCGCATTTGGGTTCATAAGTTCTGTTCGCGAAGATTTCTAAAACTGTCAGAAATTGCAGTAAAATTACGGAGGACATCGGAGGGGAAGGGCGAATCGGTGGAGCGCAGCTGCCAGAACGCTTATTAAAATATAAATATGCTAAAACAAAAAGCGCGTGCGGACGCCAAATGGACGAAGGGCTTTTTCGCCCAGCGAGAAAAGAAAACAAAACAACAGAACGCAACGCAACACGGAGAGCACCGGGCAAAGTTAAAAAACTAAAGTTTTATACTATAAAATAATTTCAACTACTTGAAATAAGCACGCGCGCCGAGTGCGAAGGGGGAAATCTCGAACTGAAAAAAATAAAGAAACAAAAAGCGAAAACAAAAATTTACTACACAACACAACTAAAGTGGAAATTTCATGCGCGCTGTGGAAACTTTAGCACTTTCGCCCACCGCCACCGCCCGGAAAACTCCATCTCCATCTCCATCCCCCGGAGAACTCTGACAACCAACAACTACTACCAACCATGCCAAGTAGCCAAGGCAGAAAGCAAAGTTGTTCCTTGCAAACAATGCGCAGTTATTCTTTTGGCGAATTTCGGACCAAGGTTATTTCGATATGTATTATGCAGAACGCTGCCCGAGCTAAGGAATCTGCGTTACGGAAAATATTTAAAAACAAACTGTAGCAGCAGCAACAGCAGCAGCATTCCATGGACTTGGCTAATACATTTTTGATGGACTGCAGGGCGGTCCTGTGGGCTCTCGGCTATCATTCGATTTTCATTAGTGAATGCACACAAAGAATAACAACTTTGGAACGAGCGAATGCATTTGAAGCGCAATTAGGTAAACATTCTGGAACGGCCTGCTCGGAGGAGAGGCTTTGCAACCACTCCAACAATCAATCAATTAGCCAATTAGTCGGCAAACCCATCACGCTCATCAATTCCCATGCAAAACTAACTAATTTGCGCACACAGCTAATCAAATTTAATTAAGACATCCAGTAAACATCGTGGCAAGCCGAGAACCAAAGGCTTTACGCATACGCCTCCTTTTACCTGGGCAACAATTTGGGCTAAATAAGTAGTGGCAAGGTACTATGAAATTAAAAGTTTTTAAATCAGATTCAAATTAATTGATAAAAAATGTACATCATGGCGTATACTTAATATTGTGACATATTATACAGCGTATACTTAATATCAAATATAATATTTCTCAATATTCACCGCATTCATAAAAGAAGAGTCCAATTTGCATGTTGGCTTTATTTATTATATTATACTTAAATCAACCTAAACATAAAACTAGGTTTTTATATTTTCATATAATATTTCTAAATACTCATAGAACAATTATACAATAATGTTTAAGCTGCTTAAACTTTATGAGGCAGCAGTGCCTACTTACACTACATTAACCGCAACTGTACCGAAAGCAATCTATGGGGCTTGAAGCCCATTGTCTGTTTGATTTACCGGTGAAATATGGTCTTTGTACACGAAAGCAGGCCAAACTAAACTCGTTTCAAGTCCAAACATTTTCGGTTATCAATGCAAATGCGTTGCGTGGTTGCTCGGCCCCAAAAAGTGGGCTCCACCGCAAAAAGGCTTACCTGCAGACAATGCGTGCCACGCCCCCGCGGCATTCATCGGTCGTATATATAGGATACTCCCTGGCCATGGTCGTTGTGCTTTTGTTCGAAACTTTGAGCCCCGGTGTTACCTGCCACCGCCTGCAGTTGCGTTTGGGTGAAAAAATGGGTTTGGGGCTGGCGTTGCCGTTGCCGTTGGCACATTCTGCCGAATCGGTCGGACCTCGGGCAATTTTAGAGTTCTTTTATTACCAACTTGTTAGCTGTTTATTTGGCGCATTATTGACTCAACCGCTACCCGCCGAAAACCCCAAGCAATTCCAGGAATACGCCTAGTGCGGACCCGGATCCGGATACGAAACCGTGCGTTTAGATAATCAACTAAGCACTTCATTATTCCGTCCGGGAAACGGGGGGTGCAAAGTGCCCTCCCCCTTCGAGTGAATAGGAATATGTGCGAAAATCCTCTGGTTTATTTCGCGCATTTTCCATGCACGCGTTTTCGTTTGCTTTCCTCCCTTTTTTTTAATTGAATGATAAAACATCGCTGCACAGCCTATTCCGATTCGCAGTAAGAGGCATTAATTTAGATTAGCGAAACGAAAAGTGCGAGTTGAATGTTCTCAACAGGCTTTCTGTGTGTAAATAGTTGTTGAAAGCCCCAGCCCTTTGCATCAGATTGCATGCATTAGATAGTGGGCAAAAGTCCTATAAATGTGCTAAGTGAAAGGTTGCCTAATAGTCAAGGATGCCATTACATTTTGAATTACATTAAATAGGTTGAGATATGAGTGTAATGTAGGTATGGAGAATACATGTAAAACGGAAGAATATAAAGGATTATGATATCGAAATGCCGGCATATTATTTTAATATTTAAATAATATACTGTTTCAAATATAGTAGCAATTGTTTTTAAGCATTGTTTAATAGAAATATAATGGTTGGAAATTAAAACACTAAGTTGTATGAAAATGTAAGTAAAGACATTTTAACATTTAGTTAAGACAAAGTGCTTAAATACTTAAGGGACAAACTATAATCTCACTTCACTGCCATTATTATGGATATTTCCTTTATTCAGTTCACACTTCAGTTACCAAATATAATCCCCACCGGAAAGATGATAATCTTCCGCTCGCCTTTTATGACCAGCGTTTCGTAGTGATAACCACGTTTCATACAGGCACTGTATTTGCGCAACTCGAATGACTTTTTGATGGGCTCCATGTCCACACTAAAACAGTTGACCTTGAAGGTATCGATGCCACTCATCAAGCCCACCACTTCAAAGACGCTCGACACCCGCTCGTTCCAAATGCTAACCGATGCAATGGGCAGGGGATATTCCTTTCGATAGATCTGAGTGGCCTCAAAGGGGGTTCGAAAAATGTGTAATGTTATAATGCCGGTGGGTCCCTCGCCCAGAAATTTGTGTGGAATATCCCGAACCAACATGGGCGTGGCATCGGGCATTACAATATCAGGTGGTCCAACTACAGTTTTTGGTTTCAGTTCGGCAATCTTGAGCAGAGTGCGTTTATAGCAGGGGTGATCGGCAACCCTGGAGTCCAATGGTTTCATCAGAGTGACCACTCGACATTCGAGTTCTTCTATCAGGCTTTCCTGCACCAGAAGTACGGCCACCGCATCCAAGGCAAAGGGATCCTGTAGAGATTCGACGAGGTGATGAAGGGCACAATTGAGATCGCCATCCGGGAAAATAACCATCATGCAGGGTGCATTCCAGGCGTACTTGGGTTCTGCTTTTTCAGACAGCTCTGGTTCCTCATCCTCTTCAGTTTCAGCTACCGATTCAGTCTGCTCCTCATCACCTTCCTCCTCATACTCTATGTTTCCATAACTTTCGGTCTCTTGCTTCAAGTTTTCCTCCACGATATCAGGCAATGTTATCCTGTTGACCACAACACTAGGTAAGATTTGTACCATTTCCCGCGTTATTACCGGATTGACTAATACATAATTGTCAGCCATAATTTAAACACACATTTGATAATTTCGAATGTTGCAAGAATATAATTTATAATTCCGTTGTGCTCTTAAATTAAAAGAATACTATGATGTGAATTTCTCCAGGAGCTCTGTCATATTTTTCTTTTACTGCAACGACACTCAATAAACTAACCAAATTCAATTCAAACTCTAAACAGTTTATTTTATGTGCTGAATAAGTTTATAATCGTTCCATTAAAACCAGTTTGTGCCTTTGATAAATATAAAACTCGATTAGCCAGAGCTTTTCCACTCTAACTTTGTTGTTTTTGGCATATGAATTTGCGATTTTTCGACAATAACCAGCCAGCGGCAGTAAGCAAATCACCTGCTAACTCGCATGTATGACATGGGTTTTTGGCCTCCGGCAAATAAATATTAATGAAATGCATTTCATCAGCGATACCAAATTACAAAATGTGACTCCACTCGAAGCAGACCTAAGGCCAAGTTAATTCTTGACCGGACTTCACAAAATCTTAAATGCAATTACGTTTAGAATTTGTCGGATCTGCTTTTTGGTTTTGAGCTCCAAGACCAGTTAAGCTCAAGTTGACCCATTGTCAACTAATTGACAAATGAATGACTTGATTTGCTTGACAGCATTTGATTCTATGCTGCTGCCGAAATCGCAGCCAGGTCCTGAAGACTGAGTATGAGATTGTCCTGAGCCAGGACATGAGCATTTTACACTCATTAAGCTTAATTACATATTTTGCAGGGCCGGCTTGGGCATTCGAGGTTGAAGTGCCTGCAGATGGATGAAGACCATCTCAGTTGAGTGGAACAATGGAGCTCCTTTGTGTCTGACTAAATTCAAAACTTAATCAACCCTCTACACTTTTGCAGAGCGGCATGAACGCTTTGTCTAGAAATGAGTACGAACTTATAAAACCTGATAATCTTTATAATATTGTGGATTTCCCTGCCTAACAGTATCCTTAGTATCATTTTATTTACCTGTTCAGTTTCAAGACCAAACTATTTCTCGGAATTGAATTACTGCTCCCCATTTTCGTTGATGTGCATAAATTATAGTTTATCATTGATATAATTAAGTGTGACGGCATTAATTAAGTTTCGAATGATCAATTGTCTGGTTACAATATAGTACAACACCCATAATTTAACCCCTTTAATGTGTACCTCTTTAGGCATATAAAACCAAAAGATATAACAAATCATTAAACGTCCATTTTGCTTAACGTTTGGGAAACTCGAAAGATTCCAAAGGGAACCGCAGTTCTTTTCGGTTACCCCTTACTACCAATTTTTTTCTTTTTGGGTTCGATGTCAGGCAGTAGGATCGTAAAAACGATGCTCGTTAGAGGCAAAGTTTTATGCGTTTTATTACACGACCCGAGGAGGCATGTTGCGACCTCAATGTCGCCACATGGAACCAAGTTGAGTGTTGCCAAGTTGGCTATAATTTTAAGCAAAATCTGTTAGTATTTAGTGGTAAAAAGGCGACTTTTTAATAAAATGCTAGAATACGATTGTTAATTATACATTTATAAAGCAATAAAATAACTAAAAATAAAAGAATATATAACAAATTAATTTATATCTTTAATTTTTCAAAATAATATGTGTTAAACAAATATTTATTCTAACCAAGACACTACTCTTGATACACTTTTTAATTTTCTCAATGTTTTTGATGGGCTTACAAACTTTTTGCAATCTTTTTCGGCAGCACTGTGCAGAACCCCCAAAATCTCTCGACGCACGTAAAACCAAATCAGGCGAATGGACAAAACGTAAGGCTATAGCTAGTAGATTTTTATCCAGACCAAGCTGCATGATTGCATTTTATGTTTGTCTTAATTTTTTATGTCTACTTTGCGAGTGCGAGGCCATAAATAAAGCAACAATCAATTTTCATACGCACTCTTGTGCGACATCGCACGCAACTGGAGTCGTAAAAAGGCAGGGAAACCGAGAATTGTAATCGTATATTTTAACATAATATTATTGCACACCCAGATGCGAACAAAACTGGCATTTGCACACATCTCCCCCCACTTCGCTCCAGAGTTCCCTACGATCCAGCCCCCCCACTTAAACATCATTAAATATGAAAATTCATCTGCAATTTATCAATTATTTATTTATGGCAATGTTCCTTTTGCATTTTACGCATGTGTTAATGAATAATTTTCTCGTTTTCCCCGTTGCTTGGGCCTTTCCCTGCCCCCTTTTCACCATTGTGCGTGTCTGAATGTAAGTATGTGTCCTGTCCGGTTCTGTTCAATCAATTCGAATTCGCTTTTGCATTTTTATCGCACTTTGCCGGTATACAAAAAGTAATGGGAAAAATAGATAGTAATGCGACTATGAGATACCCGGCATATTGCATTGTTACAGTTAGTATTTTCAGCCCAAATTGTTGGCTTTTGCATAATATTTACCTAAGAGATGAACTTACTTCTAAAAAAAGAATCAGAAATTTATTTTAAAAAACTTTCTTTTGATAAACCGAATGAGAAATATATTTATGATAACAAATTTCAAGCAGTTGTGTTGATTGTAGAATAAATATTTCGTATAACTTAAAAGCTTTTTTTTGTTGCAAAAGTTATATTGAAGACTATGTATCTAAGTACTCGACAAACACCGTGGAAAGTTTAAAAATATGTGCATATATGAAAATCAAGCTGAGACCGAGTTCCCAGGCCCCATTTCTCAAATGTCGCACATTAATGCGCATGAAATTTTCGTTGTTGTTCGTTATTTTTATTGCACAAAAGAGCAGCAAATTGCATGCGGGCGATGTGTGAAGACAGCAGATGCCAACGAGTACAGTAAAACAAACCAAACTCGACCATTGTTATATCGTATTTCTGCACCTCTCCACCAGTCAGTCAGTGTATCTGTACTGGGGATGGGTCGTCAGCGCGGCATTTTTCAATCAAAATACACACAATTTGCAATTTAAATGTTGATTTCGTTAATGCGGCGAATAACTCAATGCAATGAACACATATGGGCGCTGCTTCGGGCTTTGGCACCGGCTTTGTTATTGAACTGAAATGAATAGTTTATGTAGAGTCCGCACTTGTGGGTCTGCGGGTGATTTTGGATGGCTTGGGTTTGAGTGCGGGTTTGGATAAGTGCCGCGAAATTCGCTGCCTGGCTGCGCTTTATAACGAAGATGAATTGTAAATTGCATAGCAAATGAAATCAATTTTAATGGACATTGCTTATGTATTCGACAAATGCTTATTAAGCATTCATTATAAGCGAACCGCACTTTTATGTGTGCACGCGCGCATCGGAGCCATAAATTGTGAGAAAAGTATGGCCAGTTAAGCGGCTTATCAATGTTTGCAGATGCGTTGGCAATGGTAATTGAGTGCTGTTAAATCCGTTTCAAATCCATGTCAACTCAAAATGAATTAAAGCAGGCCTTGATTAAGGTTTTCCATTTTTCCACAATTTATTTTACCTCAATACAAATCACACAAAACTTACTAATTATTAAAATGGTTTCAATTGAAATATTTAAGAGCCACATAGCTTAACTAGGAAACAATAAAGAAACAAGTCTTTGTTTTTTTCATTATTGTCAAATAAAAGGGTGAAATTTCGTAATAAGTGTTGTTTGTGATCTTTATATTTTATATAATGTTATTTAGGGTTCAACCCAATGTAAGTGAAATATAAATTAGTTAACATTTGCAGTGAACCTCTGATTCTACGCCTGCACTTGCATATTCGGAGCTACCTTCTTCTCCAGAATACTCCACCCTTCCGCAATTATTAGTCAGTCAGAGCCTTTCAGTGTTCCATCAGCCATCACAGACCATTTGAAAACTTGCTCAACACTTTCCGTCGCAACTGCGCAACTTGACGCGTGGGCAAGTGAGTGGGTGACTGGATGACTGGATGACGGGATGACTGAGTGGTGCAGCGAGTGGTGCAGTGGGTAAGCCGGGGAGTTGGCCAAAGCCAGGACCAGGGCCAGGCCATGTCTTCTGCGTCGGCAGCCATCAGCCAGTCAGGCAGCAAATGAGCAAAGGGAAAATTACATTTGGGACGCCGGCGTGTCGCCTCCATTGGCATGCAGCGCCAATGCACAATTTTTTTCCGCTCTCCCACTGCCAGCCATCGAGTGCAAATTAAACCGAGCAGCGCACGGGGTTAATTTCACATGCATTTCACTGGCAATCAGTGCGTGCTCCACTCAACGGGTAATGCTACACGGCGAGAAAAACTTGGACAGCCCAATTTTATTTCGGTGACTTATCAAAAGTGCATTTGGAAGATGAAGCGGATATTTGGTTTAAGAGGTTATTACAAATTATAAATTCTTTTTAAGACCCACTGGAAATATTTCTATCGATATAGACATGTTTACCCATATAATTTTAAAAAGTGCGTTTTGTTGATGTCAGACTTTAATATCGTATAATTAAGTTTGATTTATATTATTACATTTGGATCATCAATATGCTGACACAGGTTACCCATATTTACTACATTCAATAAAATCAAGATCATTTTATTCTCGATCTTATGCAAATTCATACCCTTTTTTCTGAAGATGAAGTCTTTTTTTGACTCATTTTAATTTTACTAACCTATTATTAATGTGAATACCAAACGAAAATAATGACGATAGATTTAAATAAAAAACACACATTTACTATTTTCTCATATAATAAATATGACAGCGAAATGAGAAGTATATTTAAGTCTAATATTTCGCCAAGTGTACGACTAGTATTGGTAGTGCCAACCCCGGGTGACGATGGTGGTGCTGTTGGTGGCACTTAGCCCAAGCTACTTACACTGCGCTTTGACTGCCTGATGACTGGGGGAGGGGTGAACGGTGATGGCGGGGTCGTGCTCTAATCCGAAACTCATTTCCCACCCCACGACACTCCCCCTTTTCTTTGGGCGGAAACGAAACTCTATCGGAGGACAGGGACTGAGGGCCCAAAGTGCAGTCCGCCCGAAGTTTCTTCCTGGCCCGTGGTTGAGATAATTGCGTGTAACAGGTGTGAAAGACGGAATTTACAATGGAGATAGTGCTCGAGAGAG